GCTGCTGCTGTTGCCGCCGCCGCCGCCGCCGCTGCTGCTGCTGGTGCCCGGGAGGCGGCTGGCGGCGGAGGCTCGGCTCCCAGTCGCCGCACATCCCACAATACACCGCTAAGGAGCCCGACCCGAGCGCTCACCCTCCTCCTCTTCCTCCACCTCCTCCTCTTCCTCCTCCCCTCGCCTTCCTCGCCGCTTCCCCAGGCACTCTCCCGGCGGCGGCAGCTGCGCCGCCAAAGCCCCGGGCCCCAGTGGCCCCCCACCCCTCACTCGCGCGCTCCCACACTGCCTCCACCCCCCCTCCCCGAGGGAAGGCCTTTTAATTTATTTATTCTGCTGGGACTTAGGTGGGGGGCTCGGCTGGCGGGGGAGGGGGTGTCCCCGGGCTCTACCTCCCGCGGCCGGGGCTACCCTGGGAGCCGTGGCCTGCCCGGGCGAGCGCCTCGGGTCTCCAAAACTGTTTCCAAACTGCCAGCGCCGGCGGTGGGCGCGTGGGGACTCGGGGAATAGGGCTGGGTTTTGTTGGTGGGGAGGGAGTGATTGTGTGTCTGGACGCTGGGAGCCGTAGGGGGAGCCAGACGTCGACTCCAGCCGAGTTGCAATCGAGGCATCCGCGCTCCGGCTTCCTCTTCTGCCCCGCGACCCCCTCCCCGCTGGAGCCGAGCTGGGGAGGGGAAAGCAGGGTTTGAACCACATTAACATTCGCATTCCTGGGAGCAAGCAGCCCTAGGCTGGACCGGGGTGATACAAGCTTCTCTCTGTTATTATTTTTGGAGGGGAGCGCCCAGTAATTGTCCTGAACACATGCTCTCCCCCACCCCACCCCCTTCTTCTTCCAGCCACCAGTGGAGGAGAGAGTCCTTCTTTTTTGCATTTTTTTTTTTCCCTTCCCCTTTCTTTATTAAAGGTCCGGAGTGGCGGCGGCCAATCAGCGTGCGGCTTCCATTTTGTGAGTTCAACTCCGAGGCTCCCGGGCTTCGCAAGGACGCGTTTTCAGCCCCCTCTGCCTCTGCGCTCGGGAGGCCGGGGCGAAGGAGCCGCCTAGCCGGGGTTGCTTGGTGGTGGATTTCATATTGGGGCTCTTTTCGGGGTTTGTAATTTGGCCGTGGGTAGGTAATTGGCTGGAGCAGGGCGGCAGGGCGAGGCGGCCAATCAGCACGCGGCTTCTATAGAGCTTGAGTTATTAGACGCTGATCTCAAAACATCCTTCATCAGACACCAAGGAGAGGCCAACAGATGAGGGGAGCCATTTTTCTGCAATGGAATTAAATGGCCAAGTGGGTTTTTCCTTTGTTGCAAATGGGGAATGCTTTTCCTTTGACTCCACCATCCCGTTCAGGACGCCTCAGTGTGTTGTTTAACATTTGTCAACAGGCTAAAGGACTCACAGTTGGAAGAATGAAGAAGACTTTTTAAAAAGACCTGGATTTTTCCTTATGACTTGGAATCCATCTTTGTCTTGTATAACTAGGTCATAGCACACCATTAATGTCAGCAGTTAACAATCTTGAATTCCAAAAAACCTAAGTAAATGACATATTTCATTTTTTTTTCCTCTTTTTTTCTTGGGTGGGGGGGGTCGGGGAGCTTGGAGCTGTCTTAATCTGTATTCTCTCGACTGAACAATAAATTTTTAAATATATGTAGTTTTCCTCTATTAAACACTTAAACCTGGCCATCTTCTTAACTCCTTCTCTCTTTTTAACAAGGTAATGTGTGAAATGTCTAGCTTTAGGACTAGCGAAATGGCAGCAGCAACAAAAAATACTGTGAGCAGTTGTTACTCTTACAGTTTTTTAAAAACCTTTTACATTGTAAGTACCCAATCCATTCTGTCCTTACAAGTGCTTCATCTGCATGTCTGTCTTTGTCTCTTGTCTAATATAAACCAGTTAAAAAATGCTTTTAGACGATTTTGCTGTTCTAAAGCTAAGGTTTTAGCTTTAAGCTTTTGGAAATGTTTACAGCAATAAATGCTAGTCAGCTTTCTTCCCAGTAACACGTACACTTTCTTTGAAAATCGATCTATTTCAAGCAAAACAGCTCTGTTTTTCTCGTCTTCGGAGGGGTGGGGGTGGGGGTGAGGGAAAGGAGACCTCTTTGTGTAGAAAGAACTAAAGCCGTCACAGGAAACTAGATTAAAACTGGAAAACAAGTCCTAGCTGGTCGAGCCAAACACCAACGTTAACTCGGCAGTATTTTCTATGGCGGTTGGGATGGCTGGTGCGTCTTTTCTCTTGTTTGACTGTGTATTTTTGCCTTTTGTCTCTTAATGACGATCACACCATTGCTATATCCAGAGCAGTAAACAGTCCTCAGCGAAGCCGCCTTTTGCCAACCCAACCCTGGAAAGTTTGCAGAAGTGGAAGGACCTGACTATGCCAAGAGAGTGTAACTTACAAAGAGGTAACAACAAAAAAGGCAACACCATTTCCCCAAATTTTCCCAACTAAACAAACAAACAAAAAATCTCCTTGTGTATATATTTTTTATAATAACGCCTCCAAAACCACCGCCCAGCTTGATCTTCCAGGCACCATGGCATCGGGCTGAGCGGGTAAGTAACCAAAAAAAAAAAAAAAAAAAAAAAAGTGCCTTTTACCCCTTCGAGGAAATTGTTTTTCCGAGCAGGCCACGGTCTGCAAACGTTTGGGAGCTGAGGAGAGAAAGAGGTTTCTGGAGCTTTATGTGTGGCAGCCGGAGCGAGGGGAGATGGGAGGCTCTTCGGACCCCTTTGTACCTTCTGCCCCCGAGACGAGAAGAGGGTCTCCCCAGCGACCCTCGGGCACTCATGGAACCGCCTGACCCCGTCCCCCCTCGCTCTTCCCAGATCTGAGCCTTGGGTGGGAAGAATTTGACGTGTTTTGGAGATCGGGGGACTCAAAAGACAAGGAAACATCCCTGCTCTACCTAGGACCTCTTTCCAATTTGATTGTGGGGGTCTCGCACTCCGGAGCCGGTATTTCGGGGCTCCGGGGCGCGCCTGCGCTTCCTGAGCAAAAAAAGACAAAAGGCCGGCGTCCATGTTGGCACCATGACGCAGCATCTCTCCCGCCTGCAGCCGAGCGCTGCCCGTGCTCCCGGCCGCGCTCGCTCCTCCCTCCCAAACACGAGTTTTATTTTCCAGTTTCCCTGCAGTTCAGGTTCCAGCGGGCCGGGGCCGCGGCTGGGGCTGGGGCTGGGAGCCGCGCCGGGTTGGGGCTGCGGCGGCTAATGGCGGCTGGCTTCCTCTTCCTTTCTCCCGCCCTCCTTCCCCGCTTGTTGTTGCGAGTCTGAAGCAGAAGGCGACTACTCGGCCAGGCCGGGGCCTGAACGCCCGCGGGTCACGCGCCTCGGGTCGGGAGTGGTTGTGGGACCCGTTTTGGGGGGCGCGGGCCTCGGGGGCGTCGCGCGCGGCGACTCCCGCGCTCATTTCATGAGCTGAGGCGGCCAGACGGGCGCCATTTCGCGCGCCGCCTGCGGCCCGGGCGGTGGCGGCTGTTGCGCGCCAGGCGGGAGGAGGAAGACGGCGGCGGCCGGGGGAGGGGACGGGGCGCGCCGCCACCCGGAGGCCGCCCTAGCCGGGATGGGAGGGTGGCAGGCCGCGTCCTCCGACCCCCGCCCCGTCTCTGGGCTCGCGCGACAGGCGGAGGCCTCCTCGCTGCTGCCAGCCTGCGGGGGGCGGTCGGGGCGCGCGGCCGCTCCCTGACCCCTCTGGCTCCCCCAGAGGCCGCTGCCCACGGGGCCTCGGCGCCTTTAGCTTGGGCTCCCAGTCGCTCACTGAGAGCTGAGCCGGAGGCCCGGGTCGCCCCCTTTGTCCCCAGGAGGGGCGTCAGACGCCCCGATTTGGCCTCTTCAGGCACAGCCTCCGAGCAGCCCGCTACCTCGAGGTGGGGGTGGGGAAGCTGAGCCGGGATCCCTGGGGCCCAGGGCTCTGGGGTAAACCCGCAGATCTCCGGCTTTCCTGGGGGAGGGGATGCGGACGGGGCGGGCCTTTGGAAATGCAGATGAATCGCCGCTTGCTGCTTGTTGCCCGGGCTGAACCGAGGTGACTTCGGCCGCGCTCCCCCTAATCCATTCCCAGCTAGGCGGCTGGTTCCTGGGGCGGTGTCGTAAGGCTCCCCTTGCGTCCAGGAGACGCTGTCTGACTCGCTTTGGGCCAGGAAAGTGTCAGACCCACAAGCCGGGGGCGCCCTAACCGGCCCTGCGCTTTTCGCCAACCCCCAAGCACTTGGCTGGCCAAGGGACAGCATGTCCGGTGCCCCCGAATGGAGTCCCTCCTTTGGACAGCAGGAGGAGGCCTAGGTTGGCTCTGACAGTCCTGCCACCGAGGTAGGTTGTGAGCCCTTTCCCAGACTGTAAGGGACATTGGGGGACTGGCTAGCAG